TATTTAATATTTTATTTCTTTAATTCAAATTATCGTATAAAATATTTTTATGATTATCTATTAATTTGAATTAATAAAATAAAATATTAAATAATTTTTAAATTTTTACAAAAAATTTACATACTTAATTTATATTTTAATTTAACAGTTGAATCGTTACATTTGTTGTATATTAATGTTGGGTAGAAGGGTGTCACATTTAGTGGTATCAGAGCAGGTCGATCTAATCGACCGTGAGTTATAAGTTTACTATGCTTATTTGGTTTACTATACTTATTTGGTACATGAATGATGGACTGAACAGATTGTAAAACTTGTTGGTATACTAGTATGATGATTGATTATGTTTATTAATTGTATTATTTCCGTAGACTATGGCTGGTAGAAATGATCGCGCGATTGCTGATGCTCTTCAAGCATTAGCACACACGCTATTGCAAAGTAAACGATTAGAATTTAACGTGCTTTTGTATATGGGACTGATTTTCATTTTACTCGCCTTTGCATGTCTTGTTTATTTTCAGTTTTCACTTTTTAATTACAAATTGTTACGTAGTTTTTTATTCGTTCCTGTTTTTAATTTATACATAATAAAAAAGGAGTTATTTTTCATGCTGATTTAAAGTTTTAATAAGTATTAATTTGAATATTATATGGTGCTGATTTTGTTTTTTAATTGAAGGTACTAAAAGAAATTCAAACAAAATAAATTAATTCTCTGCTACAACGATTAAACTATATTAAACGTTTGACTTTTGTGAAAATGCATGTAATATAATTATAAAGTATTAATCACTAACAACACTTTTAACTGTTATCATTGTTAAAATCAGTTTTTGGAAAGATTCTATTTGAAATCAATTATGTTAGAAGATAATATAATTGAATAAGTTAATATAGTGTAAAATATTAAAATTATTTGATAAAAATTTAATTAATAATTTTATAGTTTCAAAACTAGAAAATAATTGATATGTTATATTAAATCAAAATCAAATATAAAATTTATCTAAAGCTCAAAATTTCAAAACACGAACACGAATACTACTTGTATTCACGTAACCTTTGTCATGAGACTCACAATAGTTACCTTTTGAGATTAACTAATTCTCTAATATTTTTTCTATATTAAATATAAATTATTATGTTATACGAGAATATTTTTTAAAAATTTATTTGATGAGAAAATTTATAAAAATTCTTTTAGTCTCTTATTTAATTTAATTTTTTATTTATTATAAATTTTTATTAATTAAATATTAATATTTTTATTTAAAGTATTAATAAATAATAAAAATAATGTTGTACTACAATATAAATTTAAAACAAAATTTATGCATTTAAAAAATATATTGTATTGGGATAATGTAATATGGGCCATATTGTTCAGGTTATGTGGGATATTATCTGATGGATATATGAAAATGTCAACGTTTCTTGTAAAAGTATGTGATTGGTTTAATATTTGAGAAAACACTTAAAAAAAATTTTGTTGTATTTAACGGAGGTTATTTAACGAGAATTATTGTAACCCTCAGAAATGTGCACAAATAATGGAATTTTAATAATCTTGATTAAATTGCAGATATTTATTTTTTAACCCCAGAAAATTGTAGCTCACGTTAATGTTATCTTTTATTATTATTACAATTTAATTTAATAACTTCAGAAATTTGGAACCTGTCCAGTTATGCATACCATGTACTACATTGAGGTATTACGTAATAATGCGCCCAACTTTTTGTTTTTAAAATTTTTTTTTAGATACTAGTATTTTTGTAATGAATCACTATAACACTATAATAGATATCTATCCTATTATATACAGTGTATTTTAACTGTAATAAAAGTTTTCATACTTTTTTTAAAGGAAAAGTTTTCATAC